CCCCAAACATCATCTGCCTATGCCTATATATATATATATATATATATAAGTACTAACGCCCCCAAACATCATCTTCATCTCGCTATATATATATATATATATATATATATATATATAAGAACTAGTAATACATAGCTCTATATATATTATATATATCAGGAGTGTATAATAGGGTTATATTATATGTATTATAGGTCCCTATTATACACTCCTGATATATATCCATGGTAAATTTTGACACTCCCCGCGTGGTCATATATCAAGATTTACCAGGAAGCGCCCACACTTCCACAACATGTTTACAACGCGGCGTGGTCTCTACTCTTGTGCGACCAGTTGCCAGCGTAAATGTTTGCATTCGGCCTGGCCGTGTTGTGTGCATAAGTTGCTAACGCAAATGGCGCGGCGGCCCGCCCGGCGGCGTGAACTCTAGTGGGTGCTGCGCGCGCGCGATAAACAAAACACATACGCGAAATCTGCTGCGCACAATAATTCTATCCCTTCATTGTTAATCATAAAAAGTAATATTTTTTATTAATAATCATAATAATAAAAGTTATTATTATTATAAGTATTAGTAGTAGTAGTCGTATTGTTGTTGTTGTTATTATTAATTATACTAATACTAATAACAACAACAGTAATAATAATAATAATAATAATAATTACTAATTACTGTGCAGGTGTTCTTCGTGCGCGGACATTATATGCAGCCGGCAGGTGGCGAACAGCCGCTCTTCGTCGGTCTCTGCTCGCCCGTCCTGCTTCCGGACAACAAGTACCCGACCATGTCCGAGTCTTGCTCCGTCTTCAACACCGTACACACCGTAGACATGCGGCTCGTCAGCGCCGACCACGTGTACGTCCGTTCACATGATACACGTAGGATAGATTAGACAATCGTGCGTGCGTGCGTGTGTGTGTGCGTGCGTGCGTGTGCGGAAGAGGGAAATCGCTAGAAATTGTGCGTAAATACACGCACGCACGCACGCGCGCGCACATACATAAACACACACACACACACACACACACACACACACACACACACACACACACACACACACACACAAGCAAACAGATACACACCGAAAATACGCACGCACAGACTCACACGCGCGCGCACACACACGCATAACACACTCACTCACACACACGAATACATACAGAAACACACACACATGCACACACACACACACACACACACACACACACACACACACACACAC